AACAACTGCCAAATTAGGTAGGTAATACTCAGTATTCCTGACCTGACCAGCAAAGTATTCCTAGCTGCATATCAGAGGAGAGACAGGGCTGGAGATGCCAGAGGTGAACCTGGAGTTAAAGATCACAAAATACTGGTTATGTTTTTTGTTTTGGCTTTTTTTATAAAAGCAAGTGTATGCGTATGGGCGCCACTGCATTTCCCTCAAAAGAAATGAAGGGAACCTTTGATCTCAGACCTCTGTTGTACCTTAGGTATCTGTGGTACCTAAGTGAAAGTGTATCTAGTTGTAAATGGAGTTTCACCAGTAACGTCACGGGATATATTTTTAAGTATGCATGTGCCTGCGTGCTTTGTGTCCCTAGTAATGCTATGTAATTCTCCAAATACTGTCTAAACTTGAGCCATAGCATTGAGACTCAAGTCAGAGCAGGATCCCTTGGTCCTTCACAGTCCTTGGGATGGGAGGTTTTTGCTCTGCTTGCTCTTTGAGGAAGGGCTGCTTGGGGCAGATGGGACACTGTGGTGGTGTCCCATGGGGACCCTAGACCTTGCCCACTCTGCAGGTCCCTGTGGCAGATGCTGCCAAGCTGCTGGGGAGGTAACATTACCCCACCTGGCAGTCTGTGGGATACAGAACAACTGAGGACTAGGAAGGTCCAAGACCAGGAAAGGAAGAAACCCCCCAAAATCCCCCCCATCCCCCATTTTTGTGGGAGTATTATGACCGTTCTTCACCAGGGTCCCTGAAAGCAGACATGAGTTTTTCTATTCCCCCATCACTGTTTCTCTCAAACAAGCCTCCAAGATGTCCTGTTGTCACTGCCTTGCCTAGGAGGGACGTGGCTGCACCGGCCTCAGCCCCTCGCTATGCTCCATCTGAGCAGCATTTTGCAAAGGAATGGTCTGCAGACCTGTGTATTTCCACTTGCAAGAGTCCTTTTTCTTCCCCCTCAGTTTTTCCCCTCCTCCTTCCTCTCCTTTTCACTTAGAAAACATCTGTTTCCAGATGTTGTTCTTGAGTCTAATAAACGCAGCAAAAGGCCTTGAGTTAATATATTTACAATAGCTGGAGATGTCGACTGCTAGTTAATGGCTCGTTCGAGCGTACCAAGACCCCCACATTTCCTGAGAGGGGAAAAAAAAATAAGAATAGAAAGAAGAGAAGTGGGGTGGGGTTTTTCTCCCTAGTAAATGGCCTGAAAAGGGGAAGTTTTGGAGATTACTGGTGGGATCGAACACATGGCCATCTCCAGTTGACTTCAACTTCCAGTTAGTGACAGGAAGGGTGCTTTTTTTTATATGAAAGGCTCCACTTAAAGTGAAGGTAAGTGAGGAAGACCTGCTGCTGTTGCCCACCCGTTTCCAGGCCAAATGAAGACCTGCTGTAGATACCTTGCTGGTTTGAACCATATGCATAGAAGCGAGAACCTCATCCATGCCTGGCTCTTCCATTTCTGGCCTGTGGTGTGGAGTGGCTCATGCCCATGGTACCTATCTGGGGTCAACGAAGGTTTATGGTCTCTTGCAATGAGACCACACTGTGCCTTGCGAGGAATCCTCCCATATCATGCCCCTTTGTGAGCACTGTGTGCCTGTTGCAGAGCAGCACTGGGCAACCTCTCTGTAAGGCACTCTGTCCATGTACAAATGCCCCTGAGAAGGACAAAGTGCCAGTACCAGCTACCGACTGCCAAACCTGGAGGCTTGCATACCTGTACATAACCATATTCAGTGTGTCAATTGACCTAGTGCCATGTGCTAGATGTCAAACATTTTCTTTCATTGTACAGAGGGGTTCAGTGGCTTTTGGAGGTATCTATTGCTTTATATTTGCTCCAGATTTCATTTCATGTTTGTGCTGAGGTCCATAACTGCTCTGGAAGACCTGTTAGAAGCACTGGAAGTGTGTGGTTACTGTCCTTGTAAGGAATTGCGTCAACTTCCCTGAGGAGAGAGGGATATAGCCTCAAGCTCGGCATACTGAGGGCAGTCTAGCCTGCTCTAAGAGCCACTGGTCAGTGAAGTCACTCCCTTTGATTGCAACTGAGCATCTGCTTCTACTCGACCAGCCTCGAGAGTCATGAACTTGCAGGAGGACTGGTTTCAGGCTGGCACCCACCTCCTCTGAGGCTGCTGAGAGAGCCGAAGGTTGGGCTGTGCTCAACTCAAGGAGTAATGAGATGACTCCACGTGCCGGGGCCCATCTCTGGAGGCACCTTGTTTGGCGAGCAGTGCTGCAGCCTCGATGCGCGCAGTTGGCTCAGGTTCGTAGCTAAATTAGTCCATTTGTATTGGCATGGGATGACAGGGCTCCTTAATGCCTCACGGATAGAAAAATTACCCTCTTGCACATCTGCAGCTAAGGCTTTTGCATGAAACCCGGCTGAGTGCAGCTCCCCAGCCTGCAGCAGCTCTGACATACCCTTGAAATGAACTGATCAGCTGGAGAGGGGCTGGTGGGGAGGCAGGAAAAGGCACTTAGTCATTCAGGCGATGCTCACGTCTGGACAACAAGATCTCTGTCACACAAAGAGCAAAAGAGCAGAGCGCTCTCCCCAGCCAGTGTGGGGAAGTGGAATGTAGGCACCCAGCAGATGTCTGTTTTCAGCTTAGAGGGTGCATTTTTGTGATTTTAGTGCTTGGACTGGCATAAATGGGAGAGAGAGAGAAAGAGTGCCTTTGGTGAAGCTATGTATAACACAGGCAGGTAGCTGCAGCCATCAGTAGTTTAACCCCGGTCTTTAAGTAGTGTACTTCAGAGCTCTCTAGGATGCCCAGCATCCCAGTTGCCAACTGTTATTTCCTGGTGTAGACTTCCACTTCACAAACACTGTATCATGAACCTCTAAGCATCTTCCCTTCATTTCTCACTGCCTGCTTATTTGCTGTGATGGCAGATGACATCTTAGGTAACTCCATGGACCATGGTTTCTCTCTGGCAGAGCCACAGCTTCAAAGACTCCTTTTCCTTTTGCAAAAAAAAAAAAAAAAAAAAAACCAAACGGCTGCTGACACAGGCATAGCTGGGAAGAGCCTGAGCAGGGAGAAGGAGACTGGGGCAGCTGTGCCTCCCAAACGACTGGACACCCTGCATGTGCTGGGTCTGTGGGTTACATGGCTCTGCCCTACTCATATGAGAAACTGTTGAAAGGCTGTGGCCATCAGAGGAGTGTTTTCAATGCGTGCTGGAGCAGCAATGTGAATTTGAGCAGTGAGATGACAAGAAACCTGCTAAAAGAAATAAAGAAAGGATTTCCTGCCTCGCAGACGCTAAAACCCCATTTCGGGAAGCGAGTGGCTGTGAAAGGCATGAAGCCATTCAAAGAATTGGGGCTGTGTGCTACCGGGCCCTCCGAGGGTTTGTCTTGGTGGAGAAGAAACAGCTCTGCTCGCTTTAACCTGCTCCCAGAAGGTCTATTTCTTCCAGCCCTCTGAAACGGAGACCGGGTGAGAGATGAATATGAGTTTTCTCTGTCAGTAATTTCCAGCACAGACTGCACGCAAAATCTTCATTTAAAATGTGTAAATGACAGTAAAAGAGTCACAAGGGAGCCAGATTTTAAGAGACCAATTTGCTGCCTGAGTTTTAATGGCTGTGCATGACAGTGGGCCCTGTGCTGCTTCACCGCTGTGTACACTCAAGAAGGGGATCAAAGGATGGACAGACAGGCAGGGCCTCAGCAGAGCCTGCATGTCACCCTGGAGGATAAAATATTGTATATCGTGCTTGGAAAAATTGGGAGAGGTGGGCCTCCCTTGCTCCCAAAGAACATAAAGAGGCTTTGTTTCCTGGATGCGTGGCTCGGAGCTGCCCTATAGCACGTATTGGGGAGACTGCTCCCTGCTAAGGGGGTTTTCTGTCCAGCGCCCTGTGCCCAGCAGGACATGGAGGAGGTGACAGGAAGCTCTGCTTCACTAGAGGGCCTCAGCAGATTAATTCCTCTGAACGTGCTTGCTGGCCCCCAGGCTCAGCAGGTTGTACACCCAAATCAAGCCCAAAAGGTTTCCCCCTTGCACTGCAGCTTGCCTGCCTGGGGTGTGGCTCACTGGTGCCCTTTGCTTGGTTTTTGCAGAGCCCTCGGCTGCCAGCTCTTGCGTCCGGATGTTTCCCTCTGGTTTTCACCCTGCCTGGCTGCTCTCCTCGAAATATTGGGGTCCAAATACCCCACCGCTGGTGTCTCAGGACAGCCCCGGGGTCTGCACGGGGGATGCGACAGCCCGGTTGTACCATCCCTTAAAGTGCCCTTCGGCTGCGTGGAGGAAAGAAAAACGCAGGCTGGTGCGAGCCCAGACTCTGCTTTACAATCTCTTTCCTGCCGCTATAAATAACCTCGGCGAGAGTCACTTCAAAGGGAAGGGCTGGCGGCGGAGAGGTGGTTTGGGGACCGAGCGGGACAGGGGCGTCCCACTGCCCGATCCCACCCCGGCACTTTGCATAAATAAATAAGTCATGCAGCAAGGGAGAGGTGGAGGGAGAGGGCGAGCAGAGGAGGTTACTTTGAGAAGCCACGCAGCTCACTCATCCCAGCCTAGTAGTTCGGAGGGAGTGTGTCATGTTACAGGGGAGCCACGATCAGCCAGAGCACAACGTTGCAGGAGCAGCTGAGAATTACCTCTCTCTAATGGGGACTTTCATGTGCGAGCTTCTGGCTGGTCTGCGAAGGAACTGAAACTGGCAGCTTAGAAGGAAACAAAAAGCTACCAACGAACCAAAAGACTGAAATACAGGAGGAAAAAAAAAAAAAATCCTGATCAGACCTTTGCTGCAGTTGAATCTTTTTTTTCTGCACCTCTTTTATTTGTGTGTGGTTTGTTTTTATTTTTTAATAGACCCCCCTTCATCCACTTTTGTCATTATTGCTATTATTTGTCATTTGCTGGCACTGGGATCCCCTTGGACATTCTTTTTCTATGCCTTCTGGATTGTGCTTCTCAGAGTAGGAGTGAGGCTTTATTTATTCTATTTATTTATTTATTGTTTCTCAGGACAGGGAGGGAATGTTGGAGGAGAAGAGCTGGAAAGGCGTCAGCGAAGCAGCTTTTGACAGGGGGTGCATGGCTCCCCCCAGGACGGGCGACGGGGAGAGATGCTGCCGCCTCCCTCTCCTGCTGGGCTCGGGGCTGCCCGGTGTCTCCCTGCTTTCTCTGGTGCTGAGCCTCCTGTTGTACTTTCGGACCTCGGATCTGCAGTCCCGGGTGTCCCACTTGGAAGCGGACAGACCCACACAGCTCCCTGCCTGGCTCTCAGCAGACCAAATGGAGACAGCTATTTTGGGAAGAGTTGACCAACTGCTTGATGAGGTCGGTGTCCTTTCATTTTGCATGTATAGTTTGCAGTACTATAGATTTTAGGCACGTGCATGCTTGCATAGTTGCATTATCTGTTTCTTTCCTCCCTTAAAAATGTATTTCTGCACAGGTGATGCTGCTAGGTTCAATTTCCTGTGCCTTTGGGTCCCTCCCACCTCTCCAACCTGCCTGGTGTTTGCTCTGCCCCAGCCCATGCTGTGGTTGAGCCCCAGCACTTTGCAAAGGGGGAAACATCATCCCTGGTCCTGGCAGGGAGGGAAGAGCCTCCAGCCCTCTCTGTTTGGTGACTGGTGGCATTGCCTGCTGAAAGAGTTAGAGCTAGAGGTTAAACCTGGGATTTCAGTGTGGGTTTGAGCCCTGGGAGAGCAATATGCAAGGCAACCCACAGACAGTGGCTATGGGAGGAGGTAACTGCAAACCAGTGCCAGCCCTGACCCCTTCCATGTCTCCTGGGTCAGGAAAATGAGATGTACTGGTACTGCCAGGATAGTTTCTGGTACTGCCAGGGCAGAGCACAGGGTTGTGCTATTGTCCACTTGAGCCCCATCTAAACTCTACTGGAGCCAGTGGACTCTTTCTCTGAGGATGGGGGAGAGCTGCTCCTGAAAAAGCTTGAGCTTCAGCAGGTCAATAAAAACAGCCTAAAGGCACAGCTTTTTGTTGCTGACACCTTTTACTTTGCTGTGCTGATGCTGCTGGGGGCTGCCTGGGTGGCTCTGCTCTGGGAAGGATGGGTACCCTGCAGGATTCTTCACCTCATCGGGGCTCTGAAGTGGTTTTGATGTGTCAGGGAGCAGATGGTGGCTCACGTCCTGAACTCTGCAGGCAGATCCACACTGACCTGTTCCCGCAGCTCTGAGGGAGGCTCAGGGCTAAGATTCAGGGCTGGGGCAGTTTCTACCCATCTCTCCTTTTCTCTGTTTACTCCAGTTTTGGCATGAGACAGGCTGCAGAGATCCCTGGGGCTAGCCCCAAAACTGTTTGTGTCTGAAAAAATCTTGTGTGCTGCTATTGCCAAAGAGGGAAGGAATGGGATGATCAGAGTGGTGGCTACTGGGACCTGCCTTGGGGCACTGCTGCCTGGCACCCGGGGTGACATGGGGACCCCTCCACATTTCTAGGAGCAGTGAAGGTCTGCCGTGAGGAGTTTAAACCTACAGCTGACAGTCTCGGCTACCATTTGTGGGTCTCATGGGAATAGTCCCTGGATCAACTGGGGTCTGCAGCCAAACACCGTGAACCTTGAGTTAGCGTACACCATAGGAGCTGAGGGATGTGGTTTTGAGTGGCCTCTTTGAATGGGGTGACAGGGTCCATGGGGCAATACCCCACAGAGAAAAGCTTTTTGGGGAGGCAAAAGCGTTGCAAGTGGCTGGACCTGTGCCCTGCGGTTGCACCCTTGCACAGACCTGCCACTAGGCAGGGATAACGTGCAGCGTTCCCCTTGTTTCTGCTGGCACGAGTCTCCTGGGAAGTCGCAGTTTATCTCTACCAAGTGATTTGAGACATGCCACAGGACGTCTCCTGGGGGCGGTGCCCGGGGCCGGATGGCCCCCTGTGTCCTGCTGGTTCTGCTGCCCGTGGTACCTTTTTGCCTTTTTATAGCCTGGCTTAGCAAGGAAATGGGGCTGTCGTGATGCCCACGTGCCTGGCAGCACCCCTGTTTTCTGAGCAGCTCCTTCTGAGCCCCTGGGGATGGGCCCAGCCTCCCTGCAGCTAGTGTGAGGAGCAGCCATGGGACAGGAACCACTACCTGAGGAACCAGTGTTTGCTTCCAGGCATCACGGGGTTACCAGCTCCCCGTTGGGCTACAGCTTCAAAAATAGCTTAGAGAAAGGCTGTGGAGCCTGTGGAGCAGTAGGGATGCTTGGCCCAGGTCTCTTGTCCCTTTACACCTGGGAAGGTCTGATGCCTATGGGGAGAGGAGGGCTGGGCTCCCTGACTCCACTGCCTACCTCAGCTAAGCTCCTGAAACAGCTACTTCAGACCTCCACACCTCAGCCAGAGCCACTGGCATGGGCCAAGAGGCTTGAGGTGCAGGGTGGGGGTCTGCTGGCGGACAGATGGTGGGGTGGCATATGGGGCTTTTACTTAGGAAAGAAAAACAAATCCCCCTGGTCCTCCTTTTCATTAGGTCTGAGGGCTAAGTTGGATGGGTCTCCTGGACTGGCTGGTGAGGGACAAGAAGGACTGAGAAAACCAGGAAAGATAAAGGGGAGCAGGGAAAAGGTGGGAGAAATAAAACGAGGAAAGCAAGAAACAGTGCTGAGCAGGACTGGGGGGAGAGAGGGGCTATGGCTGGGCTTGCCGTAATGGACATGAATGCGGGATATTCATTCCCTCCTGCTCAGACTCTCACTGCCACATCCTCACAGAGTTTCCTGGTGTTTTGACCTTAATGGGTTTCACAGCTGCCAGCTCAGTGTTATCCATCAGGAAATAAAATAGCAAAGCTTTAAAGAAACCCCGGCTTTGGAAACAGCTGGTCTGAGCTGGGCAGAGAGGTGGCACGTCAGCGGGGGCATGGGCACAGGAGCATATTTCTAGCTCTGGTGGCTGTGAAGATCAGCTGGAGGGACGTGAAGAACCAAAGTCTGCAAGGGCTGATCAAGGAGCTAGCTGAGGTTATGGTCAAAACCTGTACTGCTCTGTGTTCCGAGCTGGAGTGTGTGATGCTCTCCAGACTGCCATGTTTGTGCCCAGGTGTGACTTGGAGGTCTCCAGGGATCTGTGGGGACACCATATGGATTGCACTTAGAAGTGCAAAATGCCAGAGTCCTGTTAGGTACCCTTCCTCTGGACAAGCAAAAATAAAGGAAACTGGTAGGGAGAGGAGTTGTATTGGTTTGTTTAAAACGTTAATTTTAAGCCAGCTGGTGGGGATGTTTTCCCAGTCTTGGAGCCCAGTTTTGGAGCACCCGCGGCTGGCTGTGGCAGTGTTTCTATCTCAGTTCAGGATGAGCAAGGAGAAGGCGGCGGATGCATTCCCAGAAGCAGCCCAACCAGTGCTGCTTCACTCGCTACTGTGTGAACCTCTGCCTGGTGTCAGCGAATACCAGAGGGGAAGTTTCTACCAGACACAAATTGCCTAAGTTTTCCCACAAAAACGTCTGTGTGGAATGCGCTAGAAGCAGGTAGTTCGGGGAGAGCTTTAGCTCCATGTAGGAATTCCTCTGCATTTATGGGGCATCAGAAATTCATACAAAGAGCACAGATAAACTCACTACTGGTATTTGCAGGAATGGCAAAGCTTTCCAAAGAAGAAAACAAGGTCCTTTCCCATGCTGGGTAACATTTGGTACTATTTTGCTTGCCTAAAGCTCAGCAGGGTGGAGAGCAGGATGGAATCAGTGCTGCTGCTAGGAAAAAAACCCCAGAATTTGTGCTTGTAGACATAGAAGTGTGTGTATGTGGCACAACAGCAGTTATCCCCTGTAAAGCCTGGGGGAAGATCAGCTGCCCATCTGCACGGTGATGAGTGTGCTCAGTCTCTCTGGGGGATGTGGGGGTGGGGATGTGTGTTGTGTTGAAGGTATTTGTGTCTTTAGTGATGCTGAAGAGATTCGGGGGCTGTGCCACGGATGGGGAGGGGGAGCATTGATCCTCACTGCTTCCCCAATAGGCCATTTCCCTGGGATTCTCTTGTTACTTATGCGAGCAAAGGAGGGGACGCCTGAAAACTTCCTTTCCCTCCCAACTTAAAGATTTTGTTCTCCATTTGCATCAATGTCGTGAAGCACACTGCTCAATTCTGCTTCCCAGGGTCAGCAAGATTGCTCTAAGCATCCCCTGCCTTGATCTTTAGTGTTTTCCACCCCAAAATCCTGGGATCTATTTTTTTCTTCCAATTCCTCTGGTAGCTAAGTCCTGTTGCCTTCCAGCTGCCTGCAATCCTTGAACTTCGATGGTGTTATTTCCAAGCATTTTCCTCCATCTCGGCGGGCTCGCTGCTTGCTTTTGCTCTATGCCACATGGTCCTGCGATTTTAGGAGCTGGGCCTTTAAGAAAAAACAGCTAAATTGGAGATAAAACAATGAGAGTTAACAAAACCACCGGCCCTTGAAATCCTCCTAATGGTTGTAATAGATTATCTATTTGAGACGTGTTTCTTTTAGCTGTTGGAGATAGTGGTGGGAAATGATTTCACCTCCCTGGGTGACTGCAAACAACTAGGTCTGCTAAAGAGCTATTAATCTGCCCCTTTTGAAGAAGTGCCCTCTCTTTCACCTAATCTCAAGTGCCCATCCAAAATAGGCCTCGCAATGTTTAGGACCATGACCACAGCCATGGTCCTTTAACGTCAGAAGAGGTCTTGCTTTCACGGCTCCCCTGTTCCACCACGGTAGTGGCGAGTTAACAAAACCCTCGGGAAAAGCCCATGCTAGCTTTATTGCCCGTTGTCAGCACGTGTTTGAGCCCGACCCTCCTGCCCTTACCCTCTTGCAGACAGAGGGTTTTCCCCTTTCCTCCGCACTCAGCGATGTGTGATGGCTCCCTAAATACACAGAGGTGCACAGTCCCCACGTGGAAGCCGGTCAGCTGTGGTCCCAGCGCTGGCAAAGGCTTTTTCAGCCTCTTTCATATGTGTAGGGGGAGGGTGCAGTCGTTATGTCACTGGAAACCACGACAGGCAAGAGCAAGCCGATCCTCTCTGGAAGAAGTGTTTCTAGCATTTTTGCTAGGGCAAGAGGCAGCTAGTTGCTGCTGTGATGTTTCATGCTCTAGGTGTCCCCCAGGTGAAAAAGCAAACCCTAGATCCCAGAAAGAAGATTGCAAACGCTAGAGTCCCAGAGACCACGTTCTTTTATTTTTGCTTACAGAAGTCAACCTTGCCCTATAATTGAATGGTTTTCTGTGGCCTGGGAATGGAAGTTTTTTCTTGCAAAGGCCAGTTTTAGAGGAAAGCCCTTTTTGGTTTTGTTCTCCTTAAGCAAAGCTGGCTGCTTGTGTTGGACCGGGTGGTATTTTGCACAGTGGTAATGAGGGAAGCAGAAAAGGCCGAGAATTCGTTTTGTTTCACCATCTCAACCCAAAGTTGAACTGAGGTCTCCAGAAGCCAAGGATTTTTTCTGTTGCAGTCAATGTTTGTTTAATAGACTGTGTAGGAAACTGAACTCCAGGCGCTCCTAAATTCCTGGTAGGTTTTGCCTCCCACTGAAGGGGAGCAATCCCATGGCACCACTGCCCTTTGCACTCCCCAGGGATATGCAGAGCTCCTGGGCTCCAGGGAGGCACCGTGATGGCCAGGGATGGGGAAAATGCCTAATGCCATTGAGTGCCGGATGCTGGACAGTACCGGTGGTTGGGGCTGTGCTTCCAGCCCTGCCCAGCAGCACCTGCACCTCCCTCCCGAGGAGCCCCCTCCCTTGAGAAGGCTATTTCAGTTGTCCCAGGTGTTTCCACTACCCCGACCCTGCAGATAAAGTCATGGGGAAATGCTATTGCTCCGGTTCCTCTCCTGGTTGTGCTCTAGTCCTGCTGGGTCATCACTTCCCCTGATAAGTCCAATTATGCTGCTCCTCAACTTGTGTCCTGGCAGAGCAACCCAGCCAAGGCTTTTTGCAGCAAGCCCTAACTCTGCCTTCAAACCGCACCCCCCCACACC